TGCACTAGCCGCAGACCCTGAGGTTCTTGCTACTCTCCAGCGGGAACTAGACGATATGTGTATCCGGGTGCGCACCAAGATCCACACCTCCACCCCGATGACTATGAGCCCATTGCCGACAATGAGGGGTCGACTATAGCTTAAGGGACCATGATCTCAGGAAGCACCTCGTCGACAAGAAGAGGAAGGCCTCACGAGGCCCAGGGATCTCTCCATCCTGCTCTAAAAAATACCCCAACTTCAACCTCAAGGCCCAGTCAATGTACACACCATTGACGTCGGAGGCCGTGATAACAAGGAAAGAGTTCGACCTGATGAAGAACAGGTTCGACGAGCAAGTTGAAGCACTCAAGGGGAAGTGTGAAAAGAAAGAGAACTCATTTGATGATGGTGAGATGGGTGAATCACCGTTCACCACGGACATCTTGAAGGCCCCAATCTCTCTGAAGTTCAAAACGCTCGCAAGTGTCGAGCATTCCAGATTGCTCTCACAAGAAGTGCTCGGCTCTGGTATAGAAGGTTGCCAGCAAGGTCGATCTTGACCTACAGTCAGCTGAGGAAGGAGTTCATCACCTAATTCTCTTCTCGATACTATGACAGGAAGACAGCCACTCATCTCACTACTATTCGACAAAAAGAAGGCGAGACTCTAAGGGAGTACGTGATTCACTTCGAGGAGGAGCATCTCAAAGTAGCACATTGCTCTGACGACTCGGCTATATGCTACTTCCTCACTGGCATGGCCGACGAGACTTTAATAGTCAAGTTGGGCAAAGAAGCGCCATCAACCTTTGCTGAGGTCTTACAAAAGGCCAAGACAGTTATAGATGGGCAGGAGCTACTCAGTACCAAGCTAGGCCGTACAGACAAGAGATTCGATCAGAAGAGGTCAGGAAACCAAGAGAAAGGGAAGTCTGATTCCAAGTCTAAAGACAAGGGATCGTCTTTTTAGCCTTCCCAGGGCCGATCCGACTACAGGAGATCCGACTCGGACTCCAACTGAAGGGGGCCTTATGAAAGGTACTCCACAACCACCATTCCGATCTCCGAGATTCTCACTAATATTAAGGAGAACGGATTGGAAAAGCTTCTCAAGCAACCTGATAAGCTTAAAGGAGACCCCAAAAAACGCAACAAGGACAGGTATTACAGTTTCCATCGCGATCACGGGAATGATACTTCGAGTTATTGGGAACTGAAGCGTCAGATTGAAAACTTAATTCTAGATGGCTACTTCAAAAAATACGTTGACAAGCCAGGCTTGAGCTCGACAGAAAAGAAAGAAGAAAGGAAGCGTTCAAGGATGCCACCTCGAAGAGATGACCGACCTGCAGTCATTAACACCATCTTCGGAGGCCCGAGTGGGGGCAAGTTCGAAAACAAAAGGAAGAAGCTAGCCAAGAAAGCCTGGCGTGAAGTCTGCACCATCCAGGAGCAGAGGCCGACCTGCCCTATCTCCTTCTCCGACTATGACTTGGAGGGGGTCTACTTACCCCAAAATGATGCCTTGGTGATCTCGCCGCTGATTGACCATGTCCAAGTTAGGAGAGTGTTGGTGAATGGGGGTGCTTCGGCTAACATCCTATCTGTCACCACTTACCTAGCGTTACTTCTGAAGGTTGCATCGACCTTTGCATCACCATCGGCCAAGGTGACACTCAAGTCACGCAGATGGTCGAGTTTGTGGTGACGATGGTCGATAAGCTTACAATGCCATCTTCGACCGACCCATCATTCATTCACTTCAAGCCATCCCATCAACCCTGCATCAGGTGATGAAATATTCAACTATCAACGGGGTTGGTATGATCTGGAGAGAATAGAAGATATCCCGAGAGTGTTATACCTCGACACTCAAAGGATCGGCTGTTTGTGCCTTGGAGTAGGAGTCAATCCTTCAAAGTCCATCTTTTACACTTTCAGAAGACGAATTGCCAAGAGTAAGCCAACGAGAGGTAGCTGCACCCACTGAGGAGTTGGAGCTTGTTCCCTTACTCAACTCGAAAAAACAATTGAGCATTGGCACCAAGCTGAGGGCCACTGATAGGAAAGAACTCATCTCTTTCCTCAGGTCGAACACAGACGTGTTCGCATGGTCTCACGAAGACATGTCGGATATTGATCTGAAGATAATGGTCCATTGCCTCAACATCGACCTATCATTCCGACCTGTCAAACAAAAAATAAGACCTGTAAATAAGGAAAGGAGTGATGTAATTTTTGAAGAAGTAAATAAATTGCTATAAGCTGAATATATAAAAGAGATTATGTATCCCAAGTGGCTCTCTAATGTTGTCTTAGTTAAAAAATCCAATAGAGAGTGGAGAATGTGCGTAGACTTCACCAATCTTAACAAAGCCTGCCCAAAAGATTGTTTTCCACTACCGAGGATCGACCAGCTCGTAGACACTACGGCGAGACACGAGCTGCTCACCTTTTAGACGCCTACTCCAGATACAACCAAATAAAAATGCATGAACCAAACCAAGTCCACACCTCTTTTATAACCGATCAAAACCTTTATTGTTATAAAATCATGCCTTTTGGATTGAAGAATGCAGGGGCAACTTATCAGAGGATGGTGAACAAAATGTTTGCCAACCAGATCAGACGCAACATGGAAATGTACGTGGACAACGTGCTTGTCAAGAGCAAGCGGTCCAGGTCGCACCTGGTCGACCTGATCGAAACTTTCTGAGTTCTTCGCAAATACCGGATGAAGCTTAACCCAGCTAAGAGAAGATAAGGGACGTGCTCAAGATGCAAGTCCCAAGAAATCTCAAGCAGCTGTAGTGCCTTAACGGTAGGATTTCTGCCCTGAACAGGTTTGTCTCTAGGTCCACTAACAAATGCATTCCCTTCTTTAAAGTATTAAGAACGAAGGGGACATTCGAGTGGACAGCTGCGTGCGAGACATCCTTCGAAGAACTTAAGAGCTATCTCTGCTCGACACCGTTGCTTGCAAAGCCCATGCCTAGAGACAAGCTGCATTTGTATTTGGTCGTGTCTGACAACACAGTTAGCTCGGCCCTGATTAAGTAAGACGGAGTTCGACAAAGTCCTGTTTACTACACGAGTAAGGCCATGACCGAGGTCAAGACCAGGTATCCTCAAATGGAGAAACTGGCCCTCGCTTTAATTACCTCGGCACGCAGGCTGAAGCCGTACTTCCAAGCCCACACTGTGGTCGTACTCACAAACTTGCCTTTGAAGCAATTCTTCCATAAGCCAGAGATGTCTGGCTATTTAATGAAATGGGCTGTGGAGCTGAACGAGTACGACATCTAGTTTGAACCTCGAACAGTTGTGAAGGGGCAAGTTGTTGCGGACTTCATAGCTAAGCTCACTCCTCCCCCGACTCAAATCTCCACGTCCAACCAACCGTGAAAGATGTACGTGGACGGATCTTCAAATGAAAGAGGATGCGGTGCAGGTGTGATCCTCCTCGCCCTAGATGACATGTGTTTCAAATATTCCCTCCACTTCAATTTCTGCACCTCAAACAATGAGGCCGAGTACGAAGCTCTGTTGACCGAGCTGTGCATGGCAAGGGGACTTGGAACCAACTACCTTCAGATTTTCAGCGATTCCCAGCTAATAGTGAATCAAATCAAAAAAGAATATCATACAAAAGAACCTCAGATGGAGAAGTACTTGGGAAAGGTCATATCGCACCTCGCCCACTTCTAGGCTTACGAAATCAGCCAGATTCCAAGGTTCGAGAACTCCAATGTCGATGCCTTAGCCAAGTTGGCATCTGCCTACGAGACTGATCTGGCGAGATCGGTTCTGGTTGAGATCCTAGATAACCCTTCTATCTTAGAGCCAGAGATGATGGAAATCGATTCCTAGCCTTCGTCATGGATAGACCCGATCAGGGACTTCCTGGTAGGCCGTATTCTAGCAGATCCCAAGGAAGCAAAGAAAATTACGCGGAAAGCAGCTCGATACCTGCTCCGAGATGGAACTATGTACCGGCGTGGATTCTTCTTACCTCTCCTTAAGTGCATCTCCAAAGAAGATGAGAATTATGTTTTCAGGGAGGTGCATGAGGGGTTTGCGGCAATCATTCAGGGGCTATATCATTGTCAGCCAAGGTCGTTTGTCAGGGTTACTATTAGCCCACAATTGATCAAGACGCGAAAGAGTTTGTGAAAGCATGTGACAATTGTCAGCGCTTCGCGAACATCATCCATCGACCTCCCGGGCTACTGACTCCAATCTTAGCTTTATGGCCCTTCACACAATGAGGAGTCGATCTAATCGGACCTTTGCCATTGGGCAAGGGACAAACCAAATTCACCGTTGTAGCTGTGGATTACATCACCAAATGGGCTGAGGTCGAGGCGCTTTCAACAATTACAGAAGGCAGGGTCACAACCTTCATTTAGACAAACGTTGTCTGCTGCTTTGGCATACCCAATGCCATCGTGACAGACAATGACAAGCAACTCGACAACGCAAAGTTCAAGGATTTTGCCGCAAACTCGAAATCAGTCACCTCTGCTCGTCCCCAGCTCACCCCAAAGCCAACGGACAAGTAGAGGTGATCAACAAAATCATCAAACGCGCCCTTAAGCTATGGCTCGACGCAAGGAAAGGCAGGTGGGTCGATGAGCTACCTGAGGTGCTCTGGTCCTACCGAACTAGTTCGCCTGGAGAGTCCACTGGCGAAACTCCCTTCGCTATGGCCTTTGGCTCCGAGACCGTAGTGCCAGTAGAAATTGGGATGCCAACCGAAAGAATAGACTACTATGAGCAGACAAGGAACGAGGAAGAGTTACTCCTCAACCTCGACCTCTTTGATGAGAAAAGAGAAGCGGCCCAGTTGCGCCTAGTATAATACCAAAATCGAATGGCCAGATACTACAACTCGAGAGTTCGACCTTGGAGTTTCCAGATCGAACACTTTGTCCTTCGTAAGGTGCAGAAGCATGTTGACATACTAGAACCAAGTTGGGAGGGGTCATGCAAAGTCAAAGCCATAGTCCTACCTGGGACATATATGCTGGCTGATGTCGAAGGAAAGTTACTCTTGCATCCGTGGAACGCAGAGCACTTAAAGAGATATTATCCTTGGAATGTTGAAATGGTCCAAAAATGAATCAGACTTGTAAAAATTTTCAAGGCCAATCCCAGTAAAGGACTCCGTGTGATTTAATTTCATATCTCCTAAGGGTGCGAGTCGATGTGAAATTAAATGGGGGCCAGATGTGGATCGAAACTTAGAAAAATTCAAGCCTCTAGAAGTTATGAGTTCGAGGTGAGATGTGGATCGAAATTTAGAAAAAATCAAGCCTCTTGAACTTACGAGTTTGAGGTGAGATGTAGATTAAAACTTAGAAAGATTCTAGAAAAATTCAAGCCTCTAAAACTTACGAGTTCGAGGTGAGATGTGGATCGAAATTTAGAAAGATTCAAACCTCTAGAACTTACGAGTTCGAGGTGAGACATGGATTAAAACTTAGAAAGATTCAAGAAAAATTCAATCCTCAAGAACTTACAAGTTCGAGGTGAGATGTGGATTAAAACTTAGAAAAATTCAAATCTTTAGAACTCACGAGTTCGAAGTACGATGTGGCGAACCCAAAGATAAAATTCAAAAGGAAATATTATATTCATACTCAAAAATTGGGGCCGAGGCATATATACCTCGAGACCCATTACATAAAATGGAATCGTTGGAATTAATTAATTTGAGATTAAGGCCAAAAATTAATTAATTTGAGATTAAGGCCAAAAAGCCAACAATCTCCCCCTTTTTGATGATGACAAACTTCCAAAGAAAAATACATAGACATCATAGTAAATCCAAAATATCATACTTACTTAAAAATCATTCAAAGATTAATTTCTCCCCCTCAATTGATACATCCATGGATTAATAAACCAATAAATCATGAAACATTTTTAGAACAAATTTTTCTTAAACTTCTCCC